ATATATATATATATATATATATAAAATAGACTAAACTGCACAATGTTTCGGCCAACACCTAATCAGAAGTATCTTTATGACTTAGTAAAATGACGAGGTGTTGGTCAAAAAGTTTACCTTTAATGGTAAGAAAATGCGGTTTTTCTGTTCAAAACTATTTACACATTCTATGGTATCAAACTTTTGTTTACACACACACACACACGCACACACACACACACATATATTATATATATATATGTGTGTGTGTATATATATATATATATATATATATTTATATATATATATAATTTTTGTCAAAGACCAACGAAAGATCTTTCATAATATTTTTTTTATTTTCCTCATATTTCTTGCCATATTCCTGATATTTAAATATAAATTCCCAAATGTCTGAGTACTTTGCACTTTCGAAGTAAAGATTTATTTTGCTTTGTCAGTTTCATCGTTTTTCAAATATCGCTTCATCGCGTGTCATATCCATTTTTACAGCAAAGCGTTTTCACATGTTTTCTTTTATTATTTTCCATTTATGAAATATATTTAGTACGTTTGTTCCAAAATTTGGTCACATTTTGTTAATTTTGGTTTCTTCGTTATTATATTTAATGCTTCTAGTGTTTGCAATCGTTTTTTTTTTTTTTTGTTTGTTTTTTTTCACAGCATATGCGATATAGTAATTTTAGATTATTAGAAAAGATATGTCGGATTTTTTGTGTGTTTTGCTGTTGTTACTTGGTGATATGCGATTTAATTAAACTATCATCAGATGGATGGAAAGTTAATCTACGCGATAATGTAGCGGCTGTGTAACCAATGTATGTGTTACCTGAATTATTATTAGAGAGACATTGTGCATGCAGTTACATGGACAACATTGGTTGGTTGAAGTTTTAATTTTTACTATTTTTGTATCATTGGTCGTAACAATCGCAGAGGCTTGCAGATTTTTGTAATAAATGATGAATTTAGTTTATTCTCGTCGTTACTTCTTTCTGTACTAAACAAAATCAAATATCACTTCTTTCACTTAAAAAATACATTAAAAAAAAAAGACACGTTCCCTATACAATATATAGAAGCTTTCCAGAATAACTAGCTAAATACGCAAAGCCGGATTATGATCTCTGAGGGGCTCCTAGGCTAATGAAATGTCCACGCTCTCAGATGGAGCCACTCTCTAATTCGCCCACTTGAATATTTTTTATTCGTGGTATATTTTAGCAACATTTACATAGCTTCAAGTAAACTTACTGCAAATTCTTCAAAAATAAACTAGAATAGCTATATTTTTGGTCAATAAAGATATTCTTTATGAAATACCAATATTTTACAATATATTGAAACTAAATTAGAAAAATGTTTCAACACAAATGTAGTATATATATATATATATATATATATATATATATATATATATATATATATATATATATATATATATATAACCAGTATTATAACCTAGCTTTAGGAATCCTAGGCTGCACCTTAAATTAAATTTATTGCAAGTTCTTTAAATGAATTAGAATAGGTATATTTTATTTGTCAATTAATGTATTCTTTAAGAAACGCTACTAATTTACTATTTAATGTAAACTTTCGCCTATAAAATACTCTAGGCCTGCTAATATTTTTCATTAAAAATTCTTAGTGAATCACTATAGCTCACCATATTTTTGATTCCGAAATAAATGTAAATAAACTATGTCAGGAAAAAAAGCCAACATATTCAAAAGAATTAAATCAGCCATTGAAACCCATTTAGACAAATTGTATTAACTTTAAGGTAAATGTAAAAGAAAAACAAGTTAAAATGATGAGTCAAGTGCGTTTTCAGACTCCAAGTCTATCAGAGGACGAAAGGATAGTTTTTCCTCTTGTCTCTTTATTCACACACACACACACACACGCACACACACACACACACACATACATATATATATTGCTTGCTGTCATATTTTTATGTTTTTATGTATAGGTAGAGGTAATTTAATTTTTGCTTTTGTTAGGTGTTTTTTAGTAGATTTAAGCATTTCTCTATAGGGACGTTTGCATATAGAGACTTTATATCTAAACTATTCATATATTTTATATATGGCTAGTTTAGATATAAATTATTAACTGGGTTATTAAATATATATTATATATGGATATATCTGAAAAGACAATATTAGTAAAAGAATTGTCGATAGGAAAACTTATTTTCACAACGCATTTCTGTTCATGAGCAACTTCATCAAGTCTTATCTTTTATATGTTTAGGTGTCTGTCGTAGAGTAATCTTTAACGTTTCGTAATCGAGTTTCTTAGACTTTTGATAATGTTCTAATTCGTTACTCAACTACTCTGATCTTGTGCCATACATATCTACTATAAATATAAACAGATATAAGAGTAGTTGCCTACTTTCTACTGATGCTAGAGTTCTCTGTTCAAGCTCAGGTAAAGGCAACGATTAGAAATGCTGATTTTTCAAGATAAATTCTCCCTACTTAAAAGGTAGGCGCAATTTATATACTTGTTATTTTACCTTCATTTGGCTCTGCGTGAGACTATTTTTTAATGACACGTCCTCTCAAAATATAGGTGATAATGACTTTCCAAAGATTTCTGTTCCTTCTTGACTGTGAAATGCCATGGATTCTTGGGGAAGATAGTGAAGTGGTTTCCTGTTGCCTACTAGAGAAACGTGAATAAATCAGTTTTGCTTCTAAACTGACTGCCATTCAAGGCTAGAGGGTCCAGTCTACTCTTCTGTTTATCCCATAAATGAATAACGGAGAAAATAGAAGAAAATTTGATTTTCTCAAGGGCCTTGGCGCGAAAGTAAATGCAACAGATTACGTCGTCATTTGATCCCACCGATTTCACTTTCCGCGTCGATATCCGTTACTCGTACACTCTCCAGACTACGTTATTTTTGGCAAATGGCAGTATAAAGTGTGCCGATTGCCTCCAGCACGGAGTAAAAAACTGACGAGCATTTTGTCATAGCCAATTGTACTTTCAGCAATATGTTGCAGCATCGGCCACGCCTAGCAAAAACGTGGCGATTACGTTATTTACAGATCGGGTATTTATTGAAGCAGTATTGAACAGCAACGAGTTTTCAAAGTAAAAGTAAAAAAGCAGTTCAAATTTCTCATCTGTTTGAATCAATCATTGATCAAAACGAAACACATGTCCCGAAGAGATTCACACCTGGTACCTGTCATTGGATAACAAAAGACGCGTACAGATATTACTCATTACAAAATAATGTGTCGATACTGAAGTGTCACTGTGTGTGCTATACGGGATCAGAGCGATGGAATAAACACCAGAACGTCATTGAGCGAGAGCTGAGGGAACAGAATGATGGAATAGATACCATATCGTCATTGAGCGAGTGCTGAGGGATCAGAGCTATGAAGAAGACACCGGAACGTCATTGAGCAAGATAGAATAGACACCAGAAAGTCATTGAGTGAGAGCTGAGGGAACAGAGCGTTAGAATAAACACCAGAACGTCATCGAGCGAGTTCTGAAGTTATTGGAGCGATGGAATAAACACCAGAACGTCATTAAACGAATGATGAGGGATCAGATCTATGAAAAGGACACCGGAACGTCATTGAGCAAGAGATGGCGGATCAGAGCGATGGAATAAACGCTAGGACGTCATCATGTGAGAACTGGGGGATCAGAGCGATGGAATAGATATCAGAAGGTCATTGAGCGAGAGCTGCGAGATCAGAGCGATGGAATACACACGAAAATGTCATTGACTGAGATTTGAGAGATCAGAGCGAGGGAATGAACACCAGAACGTCATAAAGCGAGGACTAAGACGATCAGAGCGATGAAATAAACAACAGAGGGTTATTGAGCGAGTGCTAAGGGGTCGGAGCGATGGAATAGACACCAGAACGTCGTTGAGCGAGAACTGAGAAGCCATAGCGATGGAACTGACTACAAAATGTCATTGAGCGAGAGTTGAAGGATCAGAGCAATGGAATATACTTTAAAAAATCATTAAGGTGCAATTAAATAGACACAAGAACGCCATTGAGCGAGAGCTGAGCGATCAGAATGTGTGGGTTGTGCTGTAAACTATTTAAAATTATCAACCAGTTACTTAATATTGCTAAAACTAAATAACAAATTCAATTATAACATTGGGTATACATACCAAATAAAAATGCAATAAAGAAACACAGAGAATAGTTTTAGTAATAAAAGAAATAAGAACTTAATAAAGTCATCTGCACACTATCAGTTAGTCAAGTCCAATGTGAGATGACATTTTCAAAGATAAAGATCATAAAGACTGAGAGAATTTGGAATCTTACATGTTGAAAAGGAACTATTAGATGAATTGGATGCAGAAGCAAGTATTGACAGATTCACACCATTAGTGAATACTCATGATTGCTCTTAATATAGAGGATTACATATAATGCTCTATTGTACTTTTGGACTATCTATTAATACGTAAATCCTGCAGTATTTAAAAATATCAATCAATTACAATAAACCATTTAAAAATATAAATCAATCAATTACTTAAAATTTAAAAGCAATAAAAAATTAAATTATGACATTCTGTATTTACATTTGGTATCTACTGCCAGTAATATGTAAAGTACATGTACACTGTAATTACTAACAAATACACATTTTTCCACAAAAATTTTAATTGCACACTTTTTCCATATGCATTTTTTTTTTAATTTTATGAAAATTAAATGATAGCATTGTAATTGTGGATGGGACTCAAACAACCAATATTTTTAGACCCAGGCCGCAAATGAGTAATAATATTAATGCGTTGCCTTTGTTACTAATTTCTTTAAATTTTAAACTTTACTATAGAAATGTGTTTCTTTATTGTCAATTATTAACAGACAAAATAAAAGTCGCAAAATTTAGAATTTATTATAATTTCTTGTTTGTAGAGAGTCGCTTAAAATTAGAAGAATTATTTTGCCTTGGGCTTTCTGATCAGCTATTTTACTTCATTTATGTCGGCTTGTATTTGTCAAAGGTGAGGACGACACGTGAAATGCGTTACGAGTTATTCCTAGTGGTAGAGATGGGAGATTAGTTCGCAATGTATTGATGTCATTTCTATGTATATCTAAGTTTATTTTTATGAGTATGTACTTTTAGATCATATTCAAATAGATCTATCTATCTATCTACATATAGATCTATCTATCTATCTATCTATCTATCTATCTATCTATCTATCCTAATATGTTCCTATATATATATATATATATATATATATATATATATATATATATATATATATATCTGAGTGAATACAAGCATTAGTCAACAATCATTTTCCCAACTACATCGTTGATAAACAAATAAAATTATTCTTACAAAAAATACGACACCAGTAATAAAAACACCGCTCAAAAAAACATCAACATATTTTACTACAACCTGAGATACAAAAATTATAAGCAGGACGAATTCGCTATACGAAGAAGCATTAAACACCATATTTCTGCCGTAAAATATGCAAAATTTATAAGATATTACAGAAAATGGGAAACTGCAAACCATGTTGTTAACCCTATCAAATCTAAACGAGCGATAACCATTAGGGTTTTATCAGTTTCATTGCCCAATACAAGTTTATCTTGTCATAAATCAATTACCTGTGTTGGACATATTACCACCTCCTTAAATAGACGCTTCATGTGTCACTTATCAGGTCAAAATGCTATAAAAAAACATCTAAAAACTCACAATTTAAATGAACCCATAAGAAAAAATTTGGTGAAAAACACTAAAATTCTATATAAAAGGAGCGTTCGGTAGGCAAGGCACGTCAGCGTAAATGACGGTTCCGTATAGGATGCAGGTTCGAATCCTATCAAAGGACGAATATTTTCTATGAAAATTTCTCGGACATTCAGGCCGGTAAATGTTATTTAATACTGTTTATTATAAACAGAGCATTTACTTAAATACTTGTATCTATAAAAAAGAACGTTAAACATAAAAATGTCTTTAATAAATATATATATATATATATATATAAAAGGCAGGATGTGTGTGTGTGTGTGTGTGTAACGAATGCACGGCCGCAATTTTCGACGGATTTGCACCAAAATTTACATGCACATGCTCCAAGTTAACGGGAAGGCCAAGACCGACTTTGCATTTCCCAACTCCCATGGATAGTGAAAATAATCGATTTTTTCATGCTTTTTATGGCAGTTTTCATGTAGTTGCAATAGTATTTATATATATATATATATATATATATATATATATATATATATATATATATATATATAGAGAGAGAGAGAGAGAGAGAGAGAGAGATAGATATAGTATACAAGGTCTATTAAAATTCCACGTTTTCAAATTCCGAATTTTTTTAATTATTCGACCCAGTTTACGCAGGATACTCATATCGTGGGAAGGTAGACATGATTTTTGAATTAAATGAACCATGCAAAACTGGAAAAGACAAAATTATTTGTATAATATGATAAATAGAAAAAATTGTACCATTTTCACCATATTAATAGTTAATAGTGTGGCTTCTCATTTTTATAACTTGCTACAATCGTTTTCTAAAGTTTTTGGTAAGATTTGAACAAGTTTTTCTGGGATTTTCTTCCATTCTTCAATGGTTACACGTTCTAATTCCTAAAGGTTATTTGGTGACCGACGATTTATTGAACTTTCAATTCTTGCCATAGATTTTAATAAGATTCAAGTCAGGAATCATTGAAGGCCATGGCAGAACTGTAATCTTCTTTTTCTGAAGCTCCACAGTCACTGATTTAGATATATGTATAATGATAAGAATATACACCTTTGTGCAAATTAAATGAAACAAGACGTTATTAATTAATTTTTTTCTTATTTTTCCAGTGAAATGTACATGTTAGTACTTCGTAAATCCATTTCACGAAGTCGTTCCTTGCAGAGTGACCACAGATTCTCGATTAGATTTAAATTAAGAGAGATCCGGGCCAGTCTATAGTACTTTGATTTACTCGCTGGTAAGGCTTTCCAGTGTGTACGTGCAGTGTTACAATTTTCGTATGCTCCCTTGGAGTAACGTCCATCGCAGACAATGGCTGTAGGACAACTAATCGACGGTCGAGACAATAGTTTCTGGCCGTGATAAAAATCTGAAGCATTCACGGATGACGCAATATTTTTCAAGGCCAAACAAATTTCATCATACACCCCGAAAATAGATCACTGCAAATGGCCTAATCTGAGGAAAAAATAGAAATCGATTACACCCTGTCACTCCAGTGAGTCTAAAACTGACCGAACGGTGAAACATAGGAAACTAAACTCAATTAATTTACACGAGGATGCAGTTTTAAAGTATGCTCTCAGTATTATAATTATATGATCAATATATGAGATAGAGGGCACTGAGGTCAATACCAAATCTGTTTCCCGCTTGAACGCAAATTCCAAGTCATGTGTTTTAGCTCGACTATTTATATATGCTGGTCAATGAATATATATATATATATATATATATATATACATGGTGACCATCTGCTTGTATGTCTTTTTCGGTTTGTTCTTGTCTGTCACTGGGTTCTCATATCTTTTAAATAAGATTGTCACCTATTACAGTCTGTCAAACAATTGATCGAATTTTGTTAAATAAATGACTTTTGTAATTGTTTCCAATGCCGTCAGTTTGTGTTCGAGACAAAGTAAAAGTTCAGATTTCGAATATGGATTTTAGTAAGAGGCGTGTCTCCAGACAGATATCTACTTACATACAACACTGTATGTATTCAGTGTTATTGCGAGTGTCCCATATGGGCGATTGATTGGCGCACTGTAATTTTCAATAATGAATTTTATCAAGTATTCAGAATTAGTATACTACTACCCATGATCGTAACATACGAATTATAAAACATAAATTGTATTTTTCTACTTCTTCTCTTTAATGAAAATAAAGTTTGACGACATAATAATCAAAGAATTTGACATTTTGTACACATTGATTGTTGGGAAAAAAAAGGTTCATGCCTTACTCGTGATATTAGATCAAAGTGTACGATTCAATCGCATTGAAAACTAAAGAAATCAAAATTTTCTTCTTCCTTCTCATACGCACTGGAGCTTACGGCAGTATCATGTTGAAACACCGGTTCCAAAAAGATATCCAAAGTTAAGCAACGTCGAACCTGGTCAGTACTAGATAGGGGATACCAAGTTCTGTAAGTTTGGATGTGCTCCAATTTCAGTTAGGTTCGTTATATTCACTTAAATAAAATACCCTATAAACCCACCTCTTCTCCCCACATATATGGATTAATTAGTAAACTATTATTACCTCAAAAAATTATTACAATCTAAAAATATTTTCTGGCTTTAAATAACCTGAAAATGGTTGATAAGCCGTAGAAACGAATCAATGAATCACTCATACTCACAGGCAAATAGAAAAATAATGCAGAAATTCCTAGACATGGTAGTGAACGAAAGCTGGAAGAAAAGACTTGCAGTCACTTGAAGCGAATTCGAATACCAATCTATTAATAATTATTTAGAACATGAAAGGAACTTTTCGGATTTACAGTTTCTGAGTAGACAACTTCCGATAAATTGAAATGGCTTCAAAAGAAACGCTTTTCTTTAAGCTATGGACCAATGAAAATGACTCAAAAACAGTTTATCCGATTCAAATAATCTTTGTATAAGAATGTTGTCCACCAGTAGAGCCAGATTCTGATCATTCATCTCTCCGAGCCGCAGACATATATATATATATATATATATATATATATATATATATATATATGTACACGCACAGACATATACACTCTCTCACTGATCGCAAGTGCCAACGAAAGAGAGCCAACTGTCCACTTTGTAGTTGAATTTGATTTATTTTTACGGCTTATCAACCCTTTGTAGGCTATTTAAAGCTGAAACATATTTTGGGTTATAAGAATCCTTCTTTTCTTTTTTGTCGAGTGAATATTGCAATAACAATTTTTGGAGAATAACTGATTTTTTCCAGAAATAAGTCCTACTATTTAATCCATATGTGTGAGGAGATGAATTCATACCTTTTCTAAGAGTATTTACGCATAATGAATGTAACAAAGCCGCATGGAATTCGAACTCGGCTATTCATTCGAGCTATCCGTTGCACCACCCGCACATCCATGTTCACTTTGTAACCTAGCTTCTCAATCATTATCAACTATTTTCTTAATTCTTGTTCTTTTAATGTACTGTCTCCTTAATGGTCTAACACAAAGCCGCCTGCGTCTTAGTGGCTTTATTGCCTTGCTTAAGATGAAGTGATTAAAAAACAACACATAGATACATTCATAACGTTCTTATGAATTACTTTCTTCCATTTCATTGCATCGTCTTCAAAGGCGAAGCTTTTGTATAATTTTTTAAAAATAAATATTTCAACTGATATTGAAACCTCAACTTTTATCTTTACATTCCTTTACCAACACATTGTTTGAATTCAATTTCAAACTTTTTTTTTTCACAAAATTATCACATGGCTGTATGTTTGTTGGTGGAAGAAGATTTGTCTGGATTCAGAATTAATTAATTGTCAACACCGCCACAAATTTAACATCAACAGTAAGAAGATAGAATGTATGGTCGTTTCGCAAAATGGATTCCAAGAAACGGGCTACGAATTAGCGATGTTAAAATTAAGTTCTTTACGAGCATAAATTCATTTTTTCTTTTCCTTTTCCTCTTCTTTTGAGTTGTATACCCGCTTTTTTCTCTTTCTTGTATTATACTCTATTACTTATTTGTCTTTTTTTTCCTTTTCTACCATTAATTTCTTTTTCTCTGTCTTTCCTTCCCTCTCTTCCCCCCTCTCTCTCTTTTTACCACACTCTTTCTCTTATTTTCTTCCTTTTTACATTCTCTCCCTTCATTTATTTCTTTCGCTTCCTTTTTTACTTTGTGTTGATTCCTTCTCACTCTTTCATTTATCTCTCTCTTACTCTCTCTCTCTCTCTCTCTCTCTCTCTCTCTCTCTCTCTCACTGAGTCATTTTTTTCTCAATTTTATTATTATCTCCTTTTTCTATTTCTTCTTCCTTTTTCAACACTGTACTTTTACTCTTTTCCCTTCCTCTCTCTCTCTCTTTCTTTCTGTCTCCGTCTCTCTCTCTCTCTCCCTCTCTCTCTCCACTCCTGATTAGGTCGCATACACATTGATACTAACCCACAACGACACAAAATACGAACGTAGAAGTTGATTTTACTTTGATTGATTCATTTTTTACGGCTTATCAAACCTTTGCAGGCTATTTAATGCCAGAAAATATTTTTAGATTGTAAGAATTTCGGGAGTGGAAGACAATAATGATTTAGTGATATAAATCTTACTAATTAATCCATAGCTGGGGAGAAAAATGGATTTATACATTTGCCAAGGGTATTTGCACGTAAGTGAATATAACGACACAATTGGAATTGGAACTCGGCTCTCCGATTGACAATTCCGAGCTATTATCCATTACCCCACCCACACATCCAAGCTTACAGCAACTCCAAGCGGTCACTCATCTAGGTACTGATCAGGCTCGACTTTCTTAACTTTCAACGTGATGTGACTGTAAGTCACCTAGAAATTAAAAACCATCACTCAACTATTATATACGATCAGCTTTTAGCATTAAAATTATTTTAATTTTAATTAACATAAAATATAAATTGAATTTTTTAAAAAATGACAAGTGAACATATTACCCAATCAACTTTGTTTGATAAGATAGAGATTAATGCAACAAAAAAAAACAACGTCATTCAATCGGTGCTCAGGAACTTAAAGTAGTGAGCCAACGGAGGTATTTTGGCTCGATTTTCAGCGAAGGGGACATCAGAATGGTAATTATTTCAAAGACAGCACAAACAATAACAGCTGTTGTAAAACTAAGGATCATCTGAAAGGACAAGAACCTCTGCCTTAATGTTCTCGTAGTCAGATTGTTACGCACATTAGCCTTCTCAATCTTTCTGTAATGCCTGGATATTAACAGCAGAATTTAAGCGAAGAACCCAATCATTAGAAATTACATTCTTAGAACCATCTCAGCCATCTCCTATGTAGATTGCATCACAAATGATGCAATGATAGACACCATCAAACAAGAGACAGGGATTATATGGCCTATTTGAAAAATTGAAAAAACATTCCAAAAAGTCATATGTCTACTTTTACAATCTCAACGACAGGATCTCCACACTAACAGAATTTCAAATATAAAAATAGACTCACCGCAAGTAATGCCTAAAGACTCCCACATGTTAGTATTTACTAGCAGTAGAGCCCGGCGTTGCCCGGGGATGTAACAGTAAGACATAGATCAAGTATCGACCATCATAAAGACTGTGGCACCATTTACGAGGAAGAGAAAGGAAGAGAAAGAAAAGAAGGCAGAAAGAAAGGCGAGACGAATCGTAGGTGATAAGCAGCCACACACACAGCTAAGAGACAATGAAAATATTGATAAGTAACAAATGAAAAAGGGTGTCATTACAATGACAGGGAATTTCTGAGTAAAAAAAGAAAGGGAAAGAAAGAAGGAATCAGATGTGTTTTGATAACGGCTGTGTTATCTAGGTGCGTAAACGAACGGCTGGACCACTGGCCAGGGAAAAATTCAAGTGAAAATGCTATTTCGATAAGTGACGAGAAACAGGCCACTAAAAAGGACTTTGGACAGATATGAAAAATTAAATGCCACACAAGCAGTGCCGCTGACCGAATTTTTTTCGACGAAACAACTTTGGCCTGCGATAATAAAATTATGTTATCAGGAATATGTACCGAAGGAAAATGAATGGGGACCCAGAAGTGTTTTTCTTTCTTCCTTGGAGGCGACAGACTGACTGAAAACTTTGGGGATATTTCTTTTTTGAAGCCATGTTAAGAAGACCACCCATCTTGATAAATTAGCGATAAAATACCTGATAAACACCACGTGTAAAACAAGAGTTGTCATATTGTCCGTTGCGACTAGAAGGGTGATAACGGCGATTGAAAGGAAGAAAAGGGAAAGAGAAGAGATAATTTTTTTTTAGTTAAGCAAGATATTTTTTCTTCTTCCCGAAACAAAGCCACGGATTGTTCACGCCCGACTAAGACATCATTAGTCTAGTGGTGATCACGTGACGCACGAAGGAGGAGGAAAGATACCCGACCAAGACCTCATTGGCAGAGTGGTGATCACGTGACGCACGAAGAAGGCTGTCGACGCCCCATCCAGAGTATAAGTATGAGAAGCTGCTACGAAGAAGTGGGGAGGGCAGTTCACGCCCCTCAGAGCTATGGTGAGAAAGTGGGAGTGAGGAAAGTTTCCCAAAAATGGAAAAGAGTGGAAAATCCCTAACCAGAAATAAAAGAGGTGGATATGTATTTAGAATTATCGAGGAACCCCCCGACGCCAACAGACCCACCCCGGTTGTGGTCGGCGTCAATAAAAGCGAGGCCCCAACAGGCAGAAATCAGTTCGGGCTCCAGCGGAGAGTTGAGTTCAGCTGACCAAGATTCACGCAAATTTAGGACTCCTCTTCAACCCAAAAACAATTATTTTGAAGAGCGACTTAGAACCAGACCACCGAAAAAAGCCTTTTCGACTTTCGTCCAAAGACACACCGAAACACCAATTTCTTAGAGCAGACAACTTGAAGCGTTAAAACTTGCCTAGCGGAAATCGAAGTGTCACAATCCACAGAACGGGTCGGGAGATAGATGCAGTCCTATGTATCGAACAACTAGACATAAAGTTTGTTACCTTTTCTTTGATACTTTGAACTTTTTGAGTTTTCATTTTATTTTCTTTTATGCATATTTGTGTAGTATCACCCCCGTTGAACTCAGTTTGCATTACGGCCCCAACTACTGTTTGATCTCGTCTGCCTAAGATCAATTCACAACGTGGGTAGGCGGACTGGGGATCAATGCAGTTACCTTGGTAACCAGGCGTTGGAAGCGAGTTGGGAACGACGAGGCTGATATCAAATCTAACCAGATTCCCACCCGAATCACCAAGAGGTTAGAACGTCACATTTGGATGCCGCGACCGATACCAAGCCAGTTGGTCGTCACAGGACGAGACAACACGACTGACGCGACAGGCGGACGTCACGTTTGGAGCAGCGACACCCGAACGGAGCAGCGAGGAGCGAACAGCTGGCGCCGCGGCGAGGACGTCACAATTGGTGCTGTTTGGGGACGTCACAACTGGTGCCGTGGTAGATCAGGATAAAACGTCACAGTCGGCGCTGAGACCGGGGGAAAATGACAAAAGACTGAAAAATAAAATTGACAAAGATTATTGTTTAAGGTTGTCGGACACACATGTCTTAACTAGTTTTTTTTCTTTTCTTTTTTTTTCTTTCTTTTTACGAATTGTTCAAACCCAAACTCAAACAAAAACATTGTTTTCAATCGTTATGAGTCTACCGATTGAATAGAATTTTATTATAAACAATTGTCTTGTAAATGGAATTTTAAAGCATTCGGAATGTAAAAAATAAAGAAAAGCTCCCATTACTGCAAGACAATAAGGAACACTACCTGCAAAAAAAAGTGAAGTTTTGTTGAAATCGGTTGAAAAATGTAGGAAATCCGATCCCATATATAAACGAAACACACACACACACACACACACACACACAACTTGGGTTTTATAATAAGTATAACTCGATATGAGTTGTCCCCTTTCATTCTCGTGATGCCTCTTAATCGTGTTTTCAATTGATTTCGTTAAAAAACAATTGTGTTTTTTCCAATTTGGGGCGCTGTCAGAACCACCGCAATGTAATTTTACGTAGTCCTGTGAAGTTTTGTTGAAATCGGTTGAAAAATGTAGGAAATCCGATCCAATATATAAGCGTACACACACACACACACACACACACACACACAACCTGGGTTTTATAATAATTATGATTTAAGGAATAAACAGAAACTAAGAATTTCTCAGTCTGTTAATATTTATGTCAATCTATTCATATCTATCTATCTATCTATCTATCTGTCTGTCTAAGTCTGTTCATATCGAAACTCTTTTCGTTCTCCACTAACCTATGGTTAACATATGACAGCTTGTAAGCTCTTCTATACTAAATGGGTGAGAATATATTGACGGGTCTATTTTTTGAACAGGTATAAGAAAATGTAAATTCTGAAAAAAATATCAAATGTAAAACATATATGTTAAAGGATCTTTCCACGATCTACAGCTGATGTGCTTACGGCCATCACTGAAATTGTCTATCTTCAGAATAACGGAGAAACTCGTGCTGTGGCCCTAGACACCTCCAAAGCGTTTGATAGGGTTTGGCATGCCGGCCTTCTTCGCAAGCTCCAGGGTTAGGGTATTACAGATCGATTGTTTGATTTAATACAGTCATTTCTGTCAAACCGTAAATTGAAGGTCATTCTCAACGGAATCTCCTCCAGCTCCTATCCTACAAACGCATGTGTTCCCCAAGGCTTCATCCTAGGCCCTACTCTCTTCCTTATCTTCATCAATGATCTTCCTGACGCCATTGACTCCCAGGTGGGCATCTACGCGGACGACACTACAATTTACTCCTCCTCAAAAACAAATCTAGTGTCACTGACAAAACTAACCTGGCCGTGCCTCTCGAAAAGGACCTCCAATCGGTTGTGAACTGGGGCAGGAAATGGCTGGTTAGCTTTAACGCCACCAAAACAAAACTGCTGTCTATTAATCACCTAAGAGAACCTTCTCTGTCCCCCATTAGAATGTCTGACGCTCAACTTCCCGAAAGCACCTCTCTGCGGCTTCTAGGTCTCACGTTGTCTACTGACCTGACATGGAACAAATACATTGAGTCAATTGCTTCGTCCACCGCAAGGAAAGTTGGCTCCCTGTGCCACACCAGGAAATTTTTCTCCCCGGAATCGATACTTCAAATATACAAATCAACCATTTGCCCTTGCATGGAGTATTGCTGCCATATATGGTCTGGAGCCCCTTCTGTTTGCCTCGGGGTTCTTGTTAAAATCCAGAGGCGAATATGCAATATAATTGGCCATGATCTGGCATCTCGACTGCAGTGGCTCTCTCACAGACGTACCGTAACCTCTCTGTCTTTTTTATAAATACCTTCATGGTAATTGCTCCGATGAGCTGTTTTCAATGGTTCCAAGACTTCGCG